CACAATGTGTCGAGAGTCCCGTAAAGCACTGAATATTAATGTGCAGTCTTGTGTCGATTTATCTGAGTTAGTCGTTGCGGGGATTGGGTTTCTTGGAGGAAGTCCCAAAATCGCGAATCGAATAGCTACAAGAAATCCAAAAATTGCCCTATCAAGTACTTTCTATCTAGGCTTGAAAAAGAATCTGTATAATGGTCTCAAGTGAATCTCTTAATACTTTAACACTTAAGGTCCATATAATCTTCATGTCAGTAAGTAAACTACAAATCATAACGACAATGAAGGGACTGGTACCAGGAAACTGATCTTGGTCCAGGGGCTACCAAACTCATCCCGAGCAAATTCCTTCTGAGCAAAAAAGCTACGTACGGATGTATTCCGAATTGCGTTCCCATCTCTCCTACCGAGCTTGCCTTTTCCCTACGCTGAACCTGAACCTGAAGCTTTCCTTCCAAATATTTCTAACTATTGGACCCGCCAGAGGAAGGAAAATAAAATTCGGAGTATAACCAGAATATTTTTACTTATTGCGGACTAATTGGTCTCATGCTTGCCAGACTTGCTTTCTTCAAGCAGGTGGATATGCTGTGTACGCTAAGGTTACTTAATCTCAATATAAAGAATATTGCGAATAAAAAGGAACTATTTCATATTTCGATTCGTTGCAAACGTCTTAAGAGATCGCATTAAATCGGTATGAAAATCCTATATAATCCTCCTTTCTCCAGTCGAACGGTAAGTGCGTAGTAACACCTGCTTTTGCTTGAACCATAATACAGTACAATGCAATATTTACTTCGTTGCTCGTCGTTCGTCGTTCGTCGTTCGCCATTCGTCGTCATAACAACCACACGAGAATTGGGTGACTAAGCATATATTTGTTCTAAGACAGATATAGATTTCCGAGTTAGTCTCTTACTGTTTAAGCTTTTCCCAATAAATTTAGTTCGTTTGAAACAACTATGGAGAATAAGTATCGAGCTTGGCCCTCATTTTGGAGATCTTTCAAGTAAAAACTTTTGGATGTGACCTTTCAAATCAACGTTTGCTTAAGACTAGAGACTAGGTACTCGTTTGGTTTAATACCGATTTGAAAAAATAGGGAGAATTTTATGAATGCATCGCAATCTTCTTCCGATCTCCTCTGATGTCTTTTGTTTCTTTTGTTTGCACTAAAAATATACATAGTTATGTAGGTAAGTAGGTATGTCGCATATTGCCGGTAGGAAAAAGAATAATAAAAGTGCAATAAATGTTCGCTACCTTATATAAAACGCTACGAAGTAATTCACACTGGTTTCTAGGGACATCATAAAAGCGAGCTGCATTTCAAAGTTTAATTTTAAATATTTTGTTTTAGAAATGAACTCATAATATATAAGCAACGTCATCGATCTACGTTTCGGTTGAAAATCTGTGTGGGATCTGTGCAGTATTTTCATAAAACAATTTTTTTTTTTTTTTTTGCTCAACTTGTACAAAGAGTTTTTTTCTTTTTTTTTTTTAAATCAAATTTACTGTTTTTCGTCTCTCAGTGGATTAAGTGGTATTCAGTCATCTCACGCGTTTGACTTGAAAACGCTAATGAAACGCAACACATGCACAATTTTACTTGACTGCTAAACATATGCGTAAGACGCCTTTTTCAAGCATAGAGAGACAACGCCTGCATTACTATGCATATGCATCGACGCGAGCATTTTCATTGCTTTTTAATGTCTACAAATTGTACGACATGCAATGTATATGCGTGTGTTTGCGTGTGTGCGTGTGTGTCTTAAATTGTTTCCAAAAAAAAAAAAAAAAAAAAAAAACCCCAAGAAAATTCATCCGAAGCATACGCGTGCACAAGCATTCGATTGTGATTAGTTTTCAACAAAGTAAACGCAGTGTTTTACAAAATTATGTGTAATGGAAAGGCAAACCGAACAACCTGGCCAGGATTAAATACGGATTAAATTATAAGAAACTATATTTTATATCACTTCAAAAACGCTTATACCGACACACACAACTGTCAAAATGCATACATGTTGAGCTTCTATTTATATTCATGAGACACACAAACACATGCATCCTCGTATATTTGCTGCATTTGCTCGTAAAATATTTCAGTGGGCGGACGAAATTTACGTTTTGAAGCATCGTCTGCTTCACTTAACACAAACTAACAATTTATGATTGTTTTTACAACTTTGGCAATGAGATTGAGATTACTGCCCAACTTAATGACTTCATTTTTAGCTAGGAACGCACAAGGGCTAACAATCCGCTTATGTTACAAGGAATCGTTCGATTTGTATTTACGCGGAAGTATGTGTCATATAAGGCGAATTGCTTTTGCGCTTGGATCCATTTCTTGATATGCCATTATCAGAACGGGAGTGCTGGTGGTTAAACAGCAATGTATATGATTCACCCATTCAGCTCACTCCACCACTACTTAGATAAGAGTAGTTTTAACTGTGATTGTGTGATGTGTACGGCTACAGAAAAGCTAATAATTTCAAGTTTTCCTTCCGGTTCGAGTCAAACACTTTTAATTGTTCACCGTGTCCGGAAATTCTTTTAACATCCGATAATACGTTTAGACGAACCGGAAAATCAACTGGAGCCTTTTCTACTTAGCCTAGTGAATCATTTGCTAGTGATTTGCTGCATTCTACAAGAAGAAGCAGAAGAAGAAGTGGAACTATAAATGCAATTGGCGTATAAGAAGGGACAAAAATTGTGAAAATGTTCCTCAAAATTGGATGATAATCCACCTAAAGTAGGCCTAGCAACCGAGTCTGCGGTCTTCGCACGCTTGAGCACGGTCGGCCCAATGGAAAGGGTATATTGCAAAAACCGATTAAATCAAAATTAGACGTCAATGGATCCTTAAACAATATACTGAAATCTTTCCCCAGTGCCCCCAAGATTCGCATACGGCATCAATTAAAATCCTATTGACATCAGTAGAATATTTCGCTTTATTAAAACGACTCAACTAACCATCTGGTTTTCTTTTGCTGCTAGTGTCCATTTTGCCGCAATCGAAGACTTCTTCTTCAATATATATAAACACACGTTTCGAAAGCTTTATATATTCTTTTTGTAAAGGAATCTGCTCGAAGAATGCTCCTTCTTCGATTACATTTTCCGGAGCAAAGTGAATCAAGGTGATCTGGAATAGTTATTTAACACCACATAGGCATAAATTTCGGTATTTTTCCATGAGCTTTAGCGGCGTAAAAAGAAAACTCTGTATGAAATTAAAAAATCACAGGGTGAGATAAAACTCGATAAACTTACCTTGGTTCACGACTTAACTAAATAAAATCTGCGCTTGAGGGCGCACAAGAATATAATCCAAATACATAACAGAAATGTTGCGGATACATAAACATATGAACGAAGAGTTACTACATTTTACTTACTTCACTCTCCTGTTATCTTACAAAGATGGAAACTGTTGGAGTGCTGCGTATCCGCTTTTGTCAGAAGTGCGCTCTCTTAGGGAGAGAAAGAGAGTGAATGCCAGTTTTATTCATGACACAAGTTTTGATAGATAAACAATACGTTGCAAGAGGTCTTTTAAAACATAACTCTTGTTCTTCTAATTATCTGGTCTTTGAGGCACACTGGTACACTTGGTCTTGGAAAAGAAAGAGAGAAAAAAACCAATGCTAATGCAAAACATGAAGAATTTAGCCTCAAACAAAAAACATCTCCTTTTTGTTTCTGCAAAGACGGAAAAGACTATGTATTTTGTTGTTGCCAAGACCACGCGTTGCAAACAAAAAACATCTGGCCAAAATGAATACACGCCCCAATTGAAAACCAAAGTTTGGCTGTAATATTTAATACGAAACTTATCTTTTTTCATTGATGTTTTCAATACGTTTGCAGATGTCTTCGAGTTACGCAGCCCTGCTTTTAGAAAAGCGAATGAAACACTTCCACTGAAAAGGTACAATTGCGAAAGATATTTTCAAAACCCTCTGTGAAATGATTGGGATTTATTTAGTTCACTGCCATTCTGCAGGTCGTGGTGGGATACCCTATTAGAGAGGGAGACTATTGTGACGATTTACGTTTACTACATTAAATCTGGCTGCACACTTAACTCAGTAGCATCCACTGTTACCTACGGTATTGAAGTGCACCGTAATCTAATGTAGCATTATCGGGCTGTCGCTCTCTACCGCTTTACACAAATTATCGCTATGTTCCAATTTTATTAACTATTGCTAAGTTTACATTCTCATTTCAATTGCGACACGTAACCTAGTTAAGTTAGCCTAATTTAGTCGTAACTAGTGAATTGTATTATTATGCTAAGTTAGCATTACAATTATTACTTATATAAGATACTGACCATACCTCAGTGATGGTCAGAACCAAATTCGTAATAAAGACTTAAAGACTATTAAATTTGAGTGTTTTCACTACACTAATGTAGTAGGTAACGGTAAACTCTCATCTTAGAATCAATGTCCATCTTAGCTGCTACCGGGAGGAGCAGCTTTTCCTGATTTCCTGATTAAAAAAATTATTAACTCATGGATACTCACTCCAAAATCTGTAGGGAATAAAACCGATTTTTTTAATTGTGATAATGATGATCAGCGCACTTACGCTCGATCTTCTATTTAATAATAAAATGATTTTATTTCTGACTGATGATTTTTTTTTCGTTTATAAAATCAAATTATTTGTACACTAAGTTCCAATGTGACTTAAGTCGTAGACGCTACATTTTGCCCATTTTTGTTTTGAAGTCACTTTTATTACATATTTTATAATAAACTATAACATGATCTGCAAGTAATAATTGTTTTTCAAAAAATATTTTTTTTTTTTTTTCATTTTTCTTTTAAAAATACATATAAAACATTTTTTCTAATTTTATAAAAATTATCTAAAAATTTTACATCACATGACATTTGACGTCAGTAAGACAGACCTTAAGCATAAAGCAGCAAACAAGATTTGAACACAACCGTACTCGCCAGCGAAGTTTATCTTTGTATTTCAGCCTATTTCACTCTGTCCCTTGGTGGTTAACGTACACGTACGCATATATGAATATGTCAAGTTTAAGTGCTAACCGAAACTCACTATATCCGGTGGTCACTCGTTGTTGCTTTAACAAGGAGAAAGTTCTTAAATATTCTACTGATTCCTTCTGTTCTCTTATTCAAGTGAGCAGAAGACTATATATAGTTAAAGATTTTCAATTGAATTTTTTTAATTGTTTCATTGAGGCAATTTTGGTTTAAAATCCTATAATGTATTTGGGTTGATTTTCATGTTAAAATGGGTCCATGGCAACCGTTATTTATACGATATTCAGCATAAACTAAGCCTGTGTTATGCCAATGATAGAAAGCGGCCAGAATGAACAAATGCCACCAGTTATGTGAATGACCGAAAAAGTCCACTTTACCGGTCAGCCATCGTTCGGGAATCTTGGCAGCATATATCACAAAAGCTATAAAACATAAGGCATACATGATGATGACACGAGGTACCATAAGCTAAAAGAAGAGAATGATATGCCAAAGAATATTGAAAATCACTTGTATTGGATATACTTACCCTTACTAATTCGTTTTCCAATCCACCCATCATAATAGTCCAATGCAAGAACGGTATAACGCCATAGGCGGCCCAAATGAAGAGAACCGCAATTTTGGCATTTAAGGAAACATTCAGTTTAGGAATTTGTGCCGCCATAGCCAAGCAAAACATCGCCAAAACAATCACAGAGTAAACTAATCTAAGAGTCTACGGGATAAGTGATATTATCTTTGCCGATTAAGGAAAATTACACACAAACAGATATGTCGCACTTACCGTAAAACACCAGAAAGCATAGTACATGCTGCTTATGTAAATCGCCACCAAAGAGAGCGAAATGCCCAAATAGTCGACCGATAAAAATAATTCATAATGTTCTTCCGATTTACAAGAAAATATATGATATATAGATGACAACAACATGCATAGGCAAAAGCAGATCAGTAAACAAACCACGAGAATTTGATCGCTTAGTTCGGTGTGGAGTTTCATAAGCTGAATATCGAATATTGTTAGACCGATAAACAATAGACAGCCAACCAAATGACTCCATATGTTAATCTGGATGCAAACGAAAAGAAGAATTATTGCAAAAGTGATTGTATAGCGGGAATATTGAAAAGTAATTTAATACCGTTTCATTTGTCCACCAAAACATACTTTGAAGGCATAATTTGGTCGAGAGGAATGTACGATAACCGCTTCTTATGTAGGGATTAAATTTTAAATGATCTGGTGCCTGAGAACGATATTACAATTTTTATGCAATTATTTTCAAATGAATTATGTTTGTTGATTTTATACGTAACATAAAAACAACAACAAAATTGGCAACAATGCGTTAAAATCTTATAAATAATTTGTGTACCTTTTTGTATTTTTAAATAATTAGACAAAAGGAAAAAAGAAGAAAAAAAAAAAACAATTGACAATGATAAACAAAAAACATATAAATAAGTTGATTTAATGCAAAGTCCATCGAACATTTTCTTAAGGGTGCTCTGCATCTTATTCTGATCTTTGACCATAAAATTAAACGCAAAAGCTAAAGTCAAATTTCGCGAATGCACAAATTAAATGAGGCATATGGCAATTGAGAATTACGGTAGCTAGACTCGGGCATAATTCTCTATATATGTCAGATGTCTGCTTATTGTGATGTATGTTATGTTGTATGAAATTGTCATAACGAGAGCGAGTGAATCTAAATTTTTCAACGAGATGCGTAGCTAAATTTATTAGTGTGTATGCGAAGCCTTGGCCTTTTATTTCAACCAAATTTGTGGTCGTGGGCATCGCTAGGAGAGATCAACACAGATTGCGCGTAAAAGAAAAAGCCCGAAAAACCCGAACTCATCTGACGAATGGGCCTTCTTTATAGAATCTCCAATTACTATTTGTGCGTAGCGCTCCAAAAGGAAGGTTAAATCTAGTATTTTTCATTCCTTTCCCCATGTTTGTTCGCATTGGACCAAAGACCAAAACATGGCAAAGCGCATGTATGTAGACACAGCCTTTATGAGGCGGATCGGTTCAGCATCATTATCGGAGCCGCTTTAAACTTATTTTCTTGTCTATGTGTTCGACATAATGATGTGTTTGAACGAACCCAAGACTAACTCTATTGGAAATAAATTGAATCGGACCAGTTTTGCAATCACTTGCAACAAAGTTGTACAAATATTATATGCCTGTACTTTTTCATGAAGCGCACTATTACGAGAGATGAGACCCGGAAACAATCGCGCAATCAAGCGAATGCCATGCAAAAGTTAAGGCAGGACCGAAAAAATCGCGCCAAAGTCGCACAAAAATCAAGGAGATGTTAACCGTTTTCTTCAATTATCGTGCTGCTGCGCACTGTGCATTCCTTCCGCCCGGCAAAACTGTTAACAAGGAGTACTATTTGAACGTGGGGATTACTTTGAAGGCGTTTTTAATTGGTCTCACTTTTTGACACGGTAGTGCACTTGCGAAAATCTCCCGATATCGTTAAGCGATGCCATATTGAATTGATGTGAACACTTCGGATCGGATGGGCGAATCAAAGAAACTTCTTGTAAATCCTTATAGTCACGAGGTATACAAAACGAAAAAACACACGAAAACAATAACAAAAATGCGATGCTAGCTGTAGCTAACTAATAATGAATGTTACTATTGCCGTCTTTTCATAATATTTCTTACACGCGCGCATGTGTGTTCATACATGTGTTTGCATATTTAAAGTTTTTTATTTACATTTGGACAGCAACCAAAAAAGCAGAAAAAAATGAATGTTAATTAATACACATTAACCTTGAATTAGGTTTTACTACAACAACAAAATTTATTCATGTTTGTGGTTTATTTGATTTTTATTTATGCATATGATTACTTAAAAGAAAGAGAGAAAAAAAAATGATAATAATAGGGAATCTAAGGTTTTCTGCGACTCACTCATTCCATTTCAACGAAAGGCATTGTAACGTAACACTTAGCAATAGCGACGAAAAACCTTGTAAAATATTGTTTCCAAAATTTATGCGCCTGCTTTTCGTCGATGCTTCAGCAGGTGACTTACGAAAGGAGCTAAAGAGTTTTCAAATTTTCATGGCCGTCGGGTCTCAAAACTGGCAATTTTCTAGACCAGCTTGAAGCTTTTCGCAATCGCGTGAATGCTGCATTTAAAGAGAAGAAGACTAACTACATTCCCTCTCACTCTTCCCTAATCGAAGAGAATAAATATTTGTTTGCACTAATTTTTAAAGTCATCATACGAAGGGCTATAAATTAAATCTATGCAGCCGGTCCCTAGAAAATCGCAATTTTTAGTTTAGCATGATTTTCCTTATGATTAGAATGAAAGTAATAAGGGGGATACCTTTTCTCTTTACTTTTATCTGAAGGAGGGGTGGATAATGTTTGTCTTCAACAATGTTAACAAGGTCGCGGTAGTGAAGGCAAATACAATCCATTTAAAGCATTGCTATGTGCGAGCAAATTCAATTTTTTTGGGCCAGCGGTTGCCCATGCCTGATCGAAAGGGGCTTGTCGACAAAAGCCAAGACCAACATTGCGGAGCTTAGTAATTAGAAAGGGTGAGATCATAAAGGTGCTCTGACTGCAACTTTCTCCATCCATTTTGGTCATTTAGCGAAGGCAAATGGCTCTGGGCCGTTTCCCTATCCCCAAGAATTCAGAATACTTTGTGCTTTCATTTTTTTTATTGTTTTTTAAATTCATTCACGAGATGCTTTTAGATGTGTAAGACCTTCACAAACAATGAATTAAACCTAGTTGCAAATCAGGCCTTTCGTGAGGCAAAATTTTGAACTCAACGTGATTTTTTTCATTTGGTCAGCCACTTAGAAGATGCCCCCGCGTGTGCTGGTACGATAATGGTCGGGAAGTTCTATAAGTAGAAACAGATGAGTAGTTACAAGTGAAAATGCCAGGATCGATGGGAAAGACTACAGCTGGTAGGTGGTTCCAAAGGCGGGCAAAGCGTTTAAAGAATAACGAGTTGCGGTAGTGCGGTAGTTGGGCGGTATTCACGGAAAACCAGGACGGTTTGGTGGTCATGCCGAGAAAACCGTATCATCCTGTTAAAGGATTTAATTGTTGGACAAATTTCTTTTACGTCTGTAGAACACTTGACCGAGATGCGCTTCTACGCGCATACTGCGAGGTCCACCTGAAGCTAACGCTCGATGGTGTTGGGAGTTTTGAGCACATATTCGTTGCCCATGAGCATGTGAGCCTCTCGTTATATGCGGTAGAGAGTCTCCAAGCAAGATTTTAAGGCTCACACCCACTCATGCGATATCGGCTGCAGTGAAGTGGATAGCGCTAGCACAGCAAAAACAAAGGGAAGATTAAAATTTCGATTGAAAACGCGGGACCGTACTTATCAACTACAGAATTGCCATACATCAGGAATATCGGTCGTGTTAGCCATTGTTTCTGTCGAGGTACGATTGAATCTCGGAAATAGGCAAACGATTTGTTCGCCCGATACGTTAAGAATCTCTGACTTACATAATTAATTTATTTTATTATGAATTTTGTTTTCATGCTTTTCCGAAGTTATTTTTTTTTTTGCATAATAAATAGCAAACATCTCGTCTTGTTGTTTTTGTTTACAATTCTAATCAAAATATTTAAAAGACGCATTGTTTTTTTTTTTTTTTTGCTTCCAATTTCAAATTTCAAGACTAATAATAAAGTTCGATAAACGAAATGAAATGACATTTAAATTGTAACCGACACCAAATTAAATGAGGTGAAGATCATTTTGCGTGTACGTATGTATGTGTGTGAACGTGTCTGCGCTTTTAAAACAAATCAATGAGGTTTCATTTTTGGTTTCTGTTTTAATTGAAATTATTTCTTGAACAATTGACAAAGTGCCATAATGCAAACCCATATAGACAAACATAGATAGATATACACGCGCACTGCGTACATATATATGCGAGTATTAAAGAAGCATGTTTTCGTTAGACTTTCGATTGAATTGATTATTAAATCTTTTTCCATCACAAAGTCTAATAAGAAAAATAAATAAAAAACTGAAAGAAATGTTTTGCTAATGAATGCTATAAGCAATTCAAACCAATCACGTGCTTATAGTAATAAACGTTTATAACAATTATTTTCATTTTCCTTTTTTAAAAAATATCTCCTCTTATGCATGGTACTTACATCTTCGAAATTTAATAACATTTTGCATTTATTATATTTATGATAATCATCAGCAGAATTTTTTGATTTCAACGACGATAAACAACATTTTTGATAAGTGCTTTGATTATTGCTCGCTGCAAAGTCCGCTGTTAAACCGTGACCCAATATATTTGGTTCTTCATTATCCGGAAACTGATGCTGATCTGCAACTGAACCAAGTCGTAAGCTTTCAGTCTGGAAATAATGCATAAAATAAATCAATTAATGAATTTCTGCTCAATGCATAAATTTATTAAGAACAATTTTTTGCACTCAGTATAAATAATGCAATGAAAAAACAAGGAAACTACTCCATAAAAGAAATAACAATTTTTTTTTATTAATAATTGACTGACATTAATTTGCTTAAAAGAATCTTTTATTGTCTGTAAAATATAAGAAGAAACTTATAACGCATTTCGAACGCTTGCTCGAACAACATATAGCTCATGTTAATTCATAAGATCCATTGTATGGCGCGGCATTTTTCATCAACTCAAAACCATATTAAGACCCAAGACTATGAAAAGAAATCTTCTCACACAACTACACTAACACTGGTGGTGGTGTGGAAGAGCTCTGATATTCCAGCTCGTTTATCAAAGAACGATGCATTTAGCTTAGGCTGAATCTTGTTAATTAATTGCACACCGATCTGGTGCCGATCCACTAAAAACAGAATTCTCTAGTTCATGTTTTAAAGCCGTGAAGTATTTTTCAAATTCATATCTGCTGTAGCGTGCTACCGTCGCAAGCACTTATGATCAATTTTCAATATAAATATTTCCTAGAGAGGGCATGGGTTACTAACGAAAAGTCATGAATAATGAGTGGAAGTCATAGGTGACTAATTAAAATACGCATCCTCCTCTTTTTCTTTCTGTTTCATGGCGATTTTCCAAGGTTGATGGATACGCTGTTGGGTGTGCCAAGCAATTCTGGGTACTTTTTGATAAAATTAATCGAAAATGTGCTAGAGATTCTATCGCGACACCGACGATTTGAGTGCCTCTGGTCATCACTCATAAGTGTGCGTATGTTAATGAATTCGCATTGAAGACAGGGGAGGACCTATATAAATATTTTCCAAATTTCTACCTACAGAAAGCATTCATATGACAGTAAAGCAATCGATTTCAGTTATCTTTCTAGCAATTCGAATAACTTACGACAAACAGACCTTGTAGAATGAAAACCTAACGTATGTTTCCGATTATAAGTGCAAAATTGAAAAGAATTTTCATTTAGCTAAACATGTGCCTTTTTCGAACGCATAAAGAAGAGAGATCCCTTACACATTTTCAATTTCTCAAGGGCAATTGAGTGGAAATTTTATATATTACTTTGTTTATTAGACACACACGTTTTCTATGATATCATTGAAAATGCTCTTCCGTGCACCTGTTGCTGCAATCTACAGCAAGGAAGAGATTCTTAAACTTTGCTTTCAAGTATTTAGCCAAATCTCTCAAGGGAGCAGCAATCGCTAATCTTTCAGGCGTCGCGAACTTCATGGCGAATTTAAAAGATTATACGAATTTTTTCAAAACATGAAACACGAAAATCAATTAGATATTTCGAAAGCCTTTAAAAGGTGCCCATGGTGTTCTTTTTCAGTGCACAACTAAAGACTTGTCGCGGAGCTCCCCTTCCCAGCGAAGAAGTGGAATATAGCACACAGGTGTAGCATACAAACAGAAACCCAGAACAAGGAAAAAAAACACATATCGTGAAACGATAAAAGCAAGCTGAAGGTCTTGCAGCCGGAGAACAAAATCTCTCTTAGGTCTTTTCTCCGTGACGCATTAAGCTCACATCGAGCTGTATTCCATGGTTCGCAGCCGTGCAGCGCAAGTGATTCCACACAGCGGTTAAACACATTAATTCCAGGATTTCCACACCAAGTTAAATGGGCCGCAGGTTTGTCGAGCCTTGGTTATACGGCACGCAACGTTCTCTTTCGACCAGCAGCCAGATAGGACTTTATCTTTAATCCGTTATTGCTGCAGTGTGAATCCTCGCTTATTTCTTGTGTCTTGTGTGCGTGTGTGTGTGTAGGTATGTTTATCTGGGTACCTAAAAATAGCTGCTTCGACTTGACTTTAATTTCTTTCAGCTTGGATTGCATATCGTCGAATTTATGAGACAGGAAGCATATATATATATATTGTCTGCGTAACTTAAGGCTTCTAGACGGCCGTCTAAGCGCGAGGTGATGTCTTCAGGCATTAATATTGATTTCGTCACGATGCTGTCGATGGTCATGTTGAATAGAAATAAGAGAAGATAGCGGATAATCCTGAGGGGCAAAACTTATTGGGCTGGCGATTGTGTCTTCGGGCAGGAAGCGATACTTGGCATTGTCATAAAAGCTTTAATAAGGAATATAAGCCTTTCTGCACCGAAGTGCATTCCCGATTGTGGAATAGTGAAGCCTGTTGATGTGGTCGATTTGTTGGGACGAAGGGTGTCTTTTTCGTTACGTCCAATTCTTTCCTTCAGGACAGATCCCCTTCCTTTGAAAGTGTAATGCCAACTGGTCTACCTCAAACGAGGCTTTCAAATGATTAAAATTCTCTTAATTGAAAAACTTTTATTATTTTTAATGAAAAAGTTTTTTTGCGCAAATGTTAAGATATCTTCATGCAATTGTATTAGTGGACAGCGAGGCATATGGGCATAGCGTATGAGGAGAACATACGAAGGCATTGAAATAAATCGTTAAATTAGTTATTATAGTAAATATTAGAAAATTTATCGGGTTATTGCACCCGAATGCGAAGAAGCTTTCAGTAATTTACAACAAATTCAGTTGACTTTGAATGGCACATGGACGCGATTGTATAACAATAGTTCTTAAGAATATAAGTGAGAAAATAGAAAAAACATTTCAGGGACTGTTTGTCGCCTCTCACGTCACGGCCGCTGAACAAACATTATTTCACTTTATTAATAATTGCTTTTAAACAAATATTTATTAATAAATTTAAGTAAAAATCGAACAAACTACAAATAAAAATAAATGCGTTTTTTTTTTTTTTTTCAACTTTAACTTGTTTATCACTTATGTGTTTAGAGTACCGATTACACGTAATTATGGGTAAACAACGTAACATGTATTGGATGTCCGTTGTTAATTGATTAATTGATTTTTTATGTAATTTTTACATATATTTACATAATTTGATAATTGTTAGGATTTTTTGATTTATTTACCATTTTTTTATTTTGTTTTTCAAAGTTTTCTGTGATTTTTTCTTTTGTGGTTGCGGTCACGGTAACTAAGGTTGTTGTTGTTGTTGTTGTTGTATCCATTTTTTTTCTATTACTATTAACGTTATTTGCTTTATGCAATTATTGAAATAATGAAAATTATTTTTATATTAAAAATAAATTCAAATTCGTATTAAAATATCCGCACTGTACACACACAACGATTGCTTGATGAACTTCAACTGATTGCTGAGCAATCTATACACGGCTTTGATAACACCGAGAAAATTCGCATGAAATCAAAGTCTCGCTATGTTGTCAACAGCGACAACAACAACAATGTGTATGTGTATGCGTTTTAATTAAATTCAAGACTTTGTAAAATGTTATTTTTGGCGATTTGTGCACGCCGTCGATAATATCATAAATAAATAAATATTTTCAAAAATTTGATTTTGTTTATTGTTGTTTTGTTGCTTTGTTGTTTTCTTGTTTTATCTCAGTTGCTTAACTTTACAAGCTTTTCGTTTAAGCGTTTTATTTATATTGTTATTATGTTATTATGTATGCATATAATTATAAATAATTCACTGCGTGTATAAGAATAAATGAAAAAGTTCAACATGAAAACAAACGTACTTTCAAGAGTCAAACAATGCAACCGTTCAATATTAACCTCCACTAGCTGCACGACTAACTAAGTTACTGTTCTTCTGATTCGAATACGAAAAATGTAATAAATTCCCTAAAAAATTAAATAATTTCCACCAAAAAAAAAAAAAAACGAGAGCATGAGAGAGAGAGAATGAATTGAATGTTTATATGAACATCACTAGCTCGACTAGTCCGTCATCTAAGATTTAATGAATTTCTTTCAATTCAGCGATAAATATTTCTAAATATACCGTCATAAATGAAAAGTAATTAAATCTTTTTTTGTTTTTTTTTATTAGCATTCGCCAAAAATTAAGCAATATTCGACCAGTGGCGATCTCTTTGATATCAATCAGTTTTTTTTTTTGCTTTGAAGGAAACTTTACTTTGTTTGTAGTAATTCTTTTAACGTCTGCTACCGGTATTTACTGCTATTAAGGTATTACTTATTTTATCGAACACGGCATTTAACGCGAGTATGGCGAAACGTTATTAGCAGAACAGGTAACATGTCTAAGAGAGCGACAAGTAGTACAAAGTCAGCGACTTCGCATCTTTGACGCTCTTCACCTCACGCCTATACATGCGAACGGAAGATGTTTTTCTTTAACCCTGCCTGCGCTTACGTATCTTACCATTGTGGGCATTACTTTTGTTTAACAGAAAGTCATATTTGTAATCGCCTAGTCAAACTCAGATAGTTTTGGGTAAGGGGCCTCACTTTTCGGCAACGGAATAATATTAAATTATATTTACATAGTCAAAAGGTCAGACGGTCGGAGGTTGCAATGGATGCACACACGTTTCACTGCACAACTACTTAGCGTGGCAGCAATGGAGATAGATGGACCATTGAAACTTTCTACGGTCCCCTCCGCATTTTTCCCATTAAGCTCGTTGTCAGCATTAAATTCAGTTTGATATTCATCACGTCTTGATATCCTATACAGCAAGAACTGCACAAAGTGTGGTCTCAATCAGTCCATTAAAAAAGTAATACATTTAAAGAAGTTTAGATTTTGCCCTGGCATTAATCGATAATCTGTTTTCATTAGTTAGTTGATCGATCATTCTTCGCTCCCCGACTTTGATAGGTTTTTAGTTCATTGACATTTTTTACGTCTTTTGTAGGTTATGCGTCTTTCGTAAAGTCATTAGCTAACCTAAGCTGAATCCATTCGTGTATTTTCATTATTTCTGATGAGTTTCATAGAATCATCTCTTTTTGGAAATTATTTTCGGAGCTTTTTGTTTAAAGCGTGCTACACACGTGGACTTGTAGACACGATTTTTTTATCAATATTTTATTTAATGATTCCACGATCATCTTTAAAGTTTCTTTACCATTAATATGGATTTGTTTTTATTCAAGCGAAGCCTTTGAAAGCACTTATCAACACTTTTGCAAGAGACTTTTTCTTCATCATACGCTTTTCGCAAGCATGTTTTTTTCTCTCACACATTTGCCACTTTCGAATAAGCTGCCTATCTCAGCACATACTTTGTATTTAATCTCTACAGAATCACTTCAAAATCGTCTAAACAGCACTCCTGCTCTAGTTCAGTATAGTTCGAAATTCGATAGTAATTATTGAAGGCATTTCACAGATGTTTCACCTTCTTTACAATGCACGTCACTGATCAATTTTCTCAAATGGAATGAAATGCAAATGAAAGCATACATAAGAGCACTCGCTGCGCAGCGGCTTATCTCTTACCTTATTTTCACCATCGCTATCTCTGTTACGTTTATAAAATGTTGTTGTAGTTGTGGTTGTTGTTGTTGCTGTTGCTGTCCTTTGAGGTGCTGCTCTCATCATTAACTGACCGCTATAGTCGGTAATAAATTGTGAATTTATCATCTTATCATATTGACTCATTTTATTATATCATCAACACCGATCTTAGAGAAGTGATCCTGTAAACATTTTAGAAAGCAAATAGTGTTTTCCTTAAATTTACATATATTCACAACAATTTTAAGTGCATATTAAAAAGAAAACAAAGAACAGAGAATAAGGGGTAAATAAATAAATATCATAAGTAAAATTTGTTTAAATATTGTATGTAAACAATTATTGCTGTTGTTTTTGCAAGGAATTGAAAATTGAGAATTCGAAAGCAAAACAGTTTGACATTGACACCTTTATAGGCAAATGAATTTGCACTTCGCTAGAGTACACAACAAATGTAAACATTAACCAATAAAAAAATTAGAAAATAAATACAGCTTTGGTCGCATTGCAGATACCCCCCATCGTTTGAGATAAATATTGAAGAAGTTCACTTTGCCTCATATTTACTGTCATCGGAAGTGAAGAGAGATGGTTCAAGACCATTTTTTATAAAAATATTCATTCGATTCCAATATTAATTTAGGTAAAGTAGGTAAAAATCGCGAGTGACCAAGTCGGTCTTCGCGGATACGAATCTCAATGCAGCAGAGTTGTATTTGATCGCAATTTTAAAAAAGAAAGCAATAGATTAGCTACCTTCTTGATTCACATTTAGGGGGCAGGAATTTTCTTAATCCATTTCTAGAACATGAATAGTTAAATACGAACATATATATGCCCAATTAACGTTTAAAGTCTAGGAATTTGCTTATTCCACTATGTGCGTGTGTGAGTAGGTGTGTTATTAATCAGCATAGTATTACGAGCGGATTTATCAACATGATTGCTCCTATTCTTCCCGGGATTACTCGTCAACTTTCAAAGCTTCCTAAAGATTCGAAAATTGAAGACCAAAGATGAAAAGAAACGCGTACCTTGCCAGTAAATAAACCTATATGAGGCGCCGTATCGAAGTGACAAACATTTCAATCCATTTATTGGAAGAACTTACCCGAAGTCATGCCTGCCCGCAATCGATTCAAAGTTATGTATAACGTTCTTACTCGTTGTGGATTGTTGTAATCTGTTTAGGTCTTTTGATGATCAAATCACTTCGTTATTTACATTTCTTCTTCTTATTTAGAGATTAACTGGGATATAGGAAGTAACCTTAGCAATATCACTCTGCTACTACTCTTACTTACTTATTTTGCAAAGCAACAAGCAGATCTAACTCGAGTTACTTTGCCCAAGAATATGCATACTTAACGACAGTGCAAATATACGAATTTAAAGAGTAGCGTGACTCTATCAGAGAAAAGACTTATGATCAAACTCTTTGTATTTTTTCTTCAAAGACTGACAAAGCAACCTAATTCATCCTAAATTTAAGTTTATGAAAATTAAACTTTTTTGTACGCATGCAGTAACCGTCTCAACGGATTTAAAAATAAAAATAAATAAATAATTTTTTTTTGCGCTTTTTTTTTTTTTTAACAATAAACGCAATGCACGAAAACTCAACAAAAACATTTTAAAATTATTCGTATTATGATAAAGATGAGATAAACTAATGTATAAAAATAAAAAGAATAGAAATGGAAATACAACAACAAAGTTATTAACGAAATGTTGTTTTCTTTTCTTCTTTTTTTTTTATTGTTTTTGTTTTTTAAATAAGTGCACAGTAACACGAGTACGACAAAGTGTTTTAAACGGAATTGAATGCACTTCACAGCTTAAACTCAAGCTGGGAAATAAATAAATCGGTCGAATCCAGAAAGTCTCTAAGCTTTCTTTTCCTTTTGTTGAACATCAGCTTTAAAATGTAAAGTCAATAGCTTATTATTGTTCCTTCGTTAATGACAATGGATCTTTACAGATAATTGCTTATTCTTTGTTCTATTGGTTCTCTCTTCTGTTCTATATACATACATGTGAGGGCGAAAGATAAATAAAAAATATTCTTGAGAATAGGCAGAGAAATGGAGAAAGCACTTTTGAAACTGAAGTAATGTTTAATGTACTCGTAAAAGTGATTTGTAAAGCAAGGCCGTCACCTCGTTTCATTGAAAAGGTGGTCGAAAAATTTCAGCGACCCGCATGTAACAAAGGGCCTCCAGTGCAGTTGAAAATGCATCTATTATTTGGTCTACCAATCACCATACTTTTTGTCTCCTGTTCAATCGTTCACCATAGCGTTAAAGGTACCCTTCACTTTGGAAGCGCTGTTAATGATCGATGTGTTATATACTCGACCTAATATCTCCTTTTTACCGTCTTCGCTATTGATACTAGACGAAGTGAAAGCCCTTCTTTCAAAAGACTGTAGTGTCTAATAATCGAGCTATCGCCTAAAAAAGTTTATTTTAATCGAATCAAAGGCCAAACAAATTAGTAAATCTGGCTTGAAGTACATAACTAACGGGATAACTAACTGGGAAGTATCTACTGAAGGTCTATGTTACATATTTAAATCGATTGGATGTTTGTTTGCAGCTTTAAAAATCCGCAAGAGTGACATGAAAGAAAAGCAAAGTTGAAATAATTAACATTTATTTCCCAACGATGAGAAAACGTGCTTAGTTTCTTCGCAATCCTGTTGAATTCAGTTAGATCCGGATTTTTTTATTAGAAATTTTTTCCATTTCAATTGACGCAGATGCTGTTTTTTAATTTACACGGAACACTACAAACGATACTTTGCATAGAATGACAAGCGAAATGATGGACCGCACAGCTGTGATAGAGAGAGAGAGAGAGAGAGAGAGAGAGAGAGGGAGAGGATACAGTGCGGTATGCAAACCAACTGATAAAAGTAGTGATGGAGAATGTTGTCTCGGAACGAATTGTCGACACCTGTCATCAAATGGACAGCATTTATCACTGTGCAACAATTTTTGATGGGAAATATAGATAAAAACTTTCCCAAATTTTTTGCGGGCTTTTTTTCATATATGAAATTTTTTTCTAAATTTTGCTTAAAAGCCACAAACAAGAATGTGCAGAGATGGAGTTTTCTCACTACGGAGATTATGCATAGGTTAGGACGTAAGCACGGACAGACATTACATTAATTCCAAATTTCGAGTTTCGACGAAAATTTTCACATATATTTCCAAGTGTTACTAGTGTGGAATAACTCAGTTAATATACCTTCCTCTTGTTTCATTGCAAGGTATAAAAAATTGAATGAAAGCCAAAAATAAACAAAATTGAGAATAAAATGAAAACTTAGCAGCGATTAAATTGAGAACAATCGTAATTAATTTGAGAAGGAGAAGAAAGCGATTTAATGATTGATTAGGCAATAATCCACGTGTACATAAATGCACAAATGTTTGCATAATAAATTCAGTTTTCTTTTTTCTTCTTTTTTTCTTTTTTTTTTTTTTTTTGATACATTTTTCACACTTACTATAATTCGTATTGTATTTTGAGAATTTTGAATTCTCGTTTTCAATTAAATATTAGTTTTAAATTACTTTCGTTATCTATTTATAAACTTAATAAATGTTTGCTTCTTCTCAATTGAATTTCAATTTCGATTTCAATTTTCTAATTTTTCATTTTCATTTTCCTCTTATTTTTTTTTTTTTTTTCTTTTGCAAAATAAATTGCTTTACTACTGCAGCACTTGCTTTGTATTATTAAATTGCACTACAAACTCGTCTCGCACGATTTTTTATGAAGTGAGCATATGCAACGATAGACAACTAATGAACTAACGAAAGAAAAATATGAATTTATTTCAATTATTTAGAATCAGAATCGGAATCGAGACAAAAATCATTCTCGCATTCTCCTCTCTCCTGCTGCTTGTTTTCTTCTTCAATTAGAATCTGTGCATAATTAATACAAACGTGAAAACATGCATATATGCATGCGTTCGGTGCATGCAAATGTATGCGTATCCATCTATAAACAGATTGTTGTTAATTTGTATTTTGAACAAGAAATTGAAATGCAAAAAGAAGTTTTTTTTATGGTCAAAAAATAACAACAATTAGAACACAATTGTATTAAAAATTTCTTTTGTCGCCTAACGGCGAAAAAAAAACATCTTATTATTAAAAAGAGAAAAACGAGAAGAGATTGAAAGATAATAATTTAAAGATAATGTTGAACTACTTTTTCATATAAATAAAACAAAATAAATATTTGTTAATTTGTTTGTAATTAATTGTATGTAGCAGACTCGCTCTTTTAAGTACTCCCTTAAGTCGACAAATTTATATGAAGAAATGGAGAAGATGGAGAAGAAAACACTTTAAATCTTAAGAGAGATACTTTAAGAGAGTACTCTTTCTTTCTTTATTATATCAAAGAGAATGTGTAATGTAATCAAGTGAAATGAATGTAAACAAATGCTATGAATGCATTCGCTTGTTCGGCAAAGCTTCAATAAGTTGCCAACAGCTGCGCCATCTATTGAGTGGTGTTAAACAAACAAACAATTGCTTTGCTTGTGCTTCTCATTAGCTTTGCATCAAAAACATGATATATTTTAAGACGGAATATTCTGGCAACAACAACAACAACAAGATGTGCGACTTCATTTTCATCGAAATCCCTCCTGCTTTTTTTCATTTTCATCGAAATCCCTCCAGCTTTTGTTTAGATTCATAGGAAAAGTTGCAGTTTTTATTTAGATTCACAGAACAATCGTCATAGCTGCTAGCTAACGAATAACCGCCAACGCAATAAACATAGCTTTCTCAGTCATCTCTTTGATGTTGTTAGCAACACAACATTTACTCGCAATAATAATAATGCGATATAAAAATATAAAATACTTCAGAGTTACTAAATAGTCACTTGGTTTAATATTGGAGGTCATGAGAATCATTGCTCAGTAGGGATATGGAATTCGCTATAATTTGACGAAAAAGTTAAACATTTCGAATGTATTATATATTTGTCAGTAAATGTTGTCTTATGCATTATTTGATGTAATATTGGAGGTAGTGTCCTTCAGGTCCAAATGTCCGTATATACGAAAGCTCAAAATAATTTATCGAAAAACTTTAATTGAAATAGTAAACATATCGCTTATCGTTTGCATCGTGATGATACTTCTTCACAGGCGATGCAATAGTTTTCTTTGCTTTAGGCAAAGAAATAATAATAATAAATAATCCTATCAGGATTATTCTATTCTTTTACCTTCTCACCCTACTTTGCTAATATATTTTACAATTCTTCCTCTTGCTCATATATCTTACAATTCTTCCTCTTGCTTATATAGTTTACAATTCTTCCTCTTGTTCATATAATTTATAATTCTTCCTCTTCCTCATATATTTTACAATTCTTCCTACTTTCTCCTACTGAGAAAGATGATGCCTTAGAATTCCTTACGACCTTCGGTGATCACCTCTCTCTCTCTGTACTCTTACATAAAACGTATTATTCGTCGTTATCTCATGGAAAGAAAGGACTTAAATATCCAGTTAAAGCTTGCGTTTTGCTACAAAAAGTCCGTTGACAAGGGGAATGACGAAAAAAGTGAAATAAAAAAATAACTAGATCCGGGTACGTAGAATAGAAATTTCGGAGTAGAGCTGCCATTTCATAATGATTAGTACCTAGTCTTAAGGATAAGAAGGGGGGGGTATGATTTTGCAAAGGAAACTTTAATTTCGTGACATGTATTTCGTATATATGTATTCGTTTAGTTTCGTCCGTCTACCTTTATATTATGAATATGATCAATCAGATAACACATCACTTTCTTTCACAAAAATTACCAGAGTAGAATTAAAATGCTATATATCTCCGCCATATACTCTCCCGCTCGTACGAGTCATCTTGGTAGTACCAATAGAACATATCTTTCAAAAAAACCAAATGTATAACTCGATCTTGAAACTCATTAATTTTTTCCTTTGAACAACTTCATCCTTTGCTACTTCATCCGCAGGGGCGGGTGGATTTTTTCAATGACAACAAAACGGATTAGCCTTTCACTATAATCGCTCTGTGCACAACAAATCTAGCTGCGACTTCTTTCTAGAGATTATCTATAAAATCAACAGATACCCTACTACCCTGGTGAAGGTTTACTAAGTTTCTACTTTGGCTTGCAATTCGCAAACAGGTATGACATCTCATTTAATTGATCAGTGCAAAATGCTATTTGGCTAATGGTGGCGCGTTCATGCGAATCGATGAATAGAAAGCGGAAACCTGGCGTACACATGATTAATGGATTATCGCATACGAGAAATGCATAGCAAAAAATTATTTCAATTACAATCTATGGCGCATTTTATTACAAATATTTGCTAGATCCATCAATCGAGTTTAAGAACGATTTCGATTGACACGCCTACACACACACACAATCAACAAAATTATTTGCAATTTTCATCTACCGATTTATAAACACTAACAAATATATATTGAATATTCCGCATCGAAGCGTAGATGATTTTTGTTTCTTACTTTTTTTTTTTGCTTGCACAGCAAGTTTTATAATATGATTGAAAAAGAGTTTGTAAGAGCATTGAATATATTTAATGTTTATTTTTTAATTGAAAAAAAGAAAAAAGAATTAATCAATAAAAATTAAATTTGTTGTTTTTCTTGTTCTTGTTGAATTTTATTATTTGTTGTTTAGAAAAAAAGAAAAAATGAATAATTTTTATAAATACATATCATTATTTAATAATTTCATAGATTGTAATATAAGAAGGCGCCTATATTTCTATAAAAACGATAAAAACTATTTCTCTTAAGTAAAATAACAAAAAAAAAAAAAAAAAAAAAATTATGTAAATTAAATTCAGAAAAGATGGCAAAGCTTTAAAAATTATACAATCGGAAGCAATTTTCTTTAAACACAAAGTGGATCTCAACTAAACGACAAAAGAGAATTAAATGATGCGTCTACGGTGAAGGACCTTATAAAACACGTTTCCTTAATAATATACGTTTAATAGCATATACAGATATATATTTATACATATATATATATATCCTATGTATGAGATGAGGAGCACGTATATGGTGAAGCGATGCATACAAAAAGAGATAATTTCTTACAGAATTGATGATTTTGGGCAAGAAATTATTACCCTGAAGCATAATTGAGCTATTCAATTATGCTTGTTTTAAGGAGGAGGAGGAAGAAGAAGACGAAAACGAAGACGAAGACGAAGAAGAAAAAGGAGAGCAAAGTCGAAAATATACGACCTCAACCAGAGCTCCACAAAATCAAGTTATAGTACGCTACAGTTGTTGATAGACTACCAGATTTATTCGCAGATCCGGCGAGGGTTGAGGTGTTGTTGAAATTCTTTACTTACTTGCCCCGCCAAAAAATATTTAGATATTTATTCACATATATATTATTTTCAATCTTAAAATATTCCTAAAATCTCTTGACTTTTTATTTTATTGAACGATAAGGTTTCGATTTCTCTTCAAACCTCTTTTTTGACTTTTTGGAGTGAATGAAGTGTGTGCAAACGAGAACCCTAATGTTGCTTGTTAATTGGAGGTAAGAAAAGTGCTTTGTATCCTCTTTCAACTCTCTCAAACGTCTGTTGCCTGCGGTTGTTAGTTCAATCAATTTTTCTGCTGTTCCGGTCTACATATGTGTGAAGAAGAATTATTTATACTTATTTTCCTTTTTTTTTTTTTTGTTTTTGTTTAATTATAAATACAATAATAAGTAAATTGTTATGATGTTTTTGTTTTTGTTTTTGTCTTAATTAGATTTAATTTTATTCTCTTCTCTCTTTAGGTTCATCCGTTTTTTTTTTTTTTTTTTTTTTTTAAACTTTTCCTATTGCGCGTCGTTCTTAGCCCATCTCACGCATGTTTTTAATATGTCTGTAGAGCGGTGTATGCTTTTCGTTTTGTAATTAATTGTTGTTGTAGTTGATAGAGTTTTGCTTTTCATTTTCAATCCTCTTCTTTTTTCTTTTTTTTTCTTCTTTTTTATTGTTTTGCATAACTGAATAAATGTTTGCTGTTTTTTGTGTTTTTTTTTTTTAGATATTTTTTATTATTATTATTATATTATTATTAATATTAATATTTTAAATTTTTCTCCTTCCATATCATCTTGTTTTCCATATTGTGTAGTATTTCTTGTTTTATTTGTATTTGTTTAAAGAGCGTTTGCAATATGTTGTTGGTTGTTGTTGTTGTTGGTTGTTGTTGTTGTTGTTGTTGTTGTTGGTTGTTGTAGTTTGCTATTGTTTATGTTGTTGTTGCTGCAGTTGATGTTTTTAAAATAGTAGCAAAATCCTTCTTCATTACAAAACTTTTCATGCTATTGTTGCTGTTTTTGTTGTTGTTGTTGCTGCTGTCGTATAAATAGTTATAGATGTTAAAACTATTCATTTCTGCTGCGGCGGCGGCGGCGGCGGCGGCAGTTGCTGCATTTACTGCTTTTCCTATTGTTTTTATTGTTGACGA